TTTAAGATGGACCTCGACTCCCAGAATTCCCCTGAGATACTTCTTGAGAAGGTTTGAGGTGGAGAAAGAGAGGAAGAGAAGAGGGCAAGAGGGCCAATCCTAGCTTTTCCCTTCTTTCGCCTCTCAGCTCATTGTGGGAGGCTTATTTTTTACTACCGGTTCGGGTGAACCGGGCCAAACCGGTAGCATACCACACCACTGCTATGAACCCACTGCAACAGCAACCAACACAACCCACCCAACCTTCTCTGAAAGTGGTCTGTTAACTGCATTGCCCCACAAGTACGTCACACACAACTTAATCGCTCAGTCGGGGACCCCAGTGGTTAGGTTGCGTTTGAAGTAGATGAACCAGGGAAGGTTTTTTTTAAGGAAAGCTTTTAGGAAAGGAGAATGAGAGTTGGATCAAGGTCTGTGGAGATTGTTCTCCGCTCCTTTTCCATGGGCACCGTCCTTGGGGTGGGAGGCAATTTGGGGTCTGGGGTTTGAGCATCTGGGCCCAGAAGGTTTTCCTGTTTTTCAGTCCTGAAGGTGTTGGAGGCTGGTCCACCAGAGGTTGCTCGGTGTCTTCTTCTCAGGAGGATCTAACCACCTGCACCTGTAACCACACCACCAACTTCGCAGTCCTGCTGCAGGTCTATGAAGTTCAGGTTAGAAGGGGGTCGGGAGGTCTTCGTTCCCAATGGAGGAAGATACTTCTTGGGGGGGCTTCGGTGGAACCATGGGGAGAACATGGACCCACATTTGGTTGGAGAATCCTCCCTTTTCCAGATCTTTTCCCTTCCCACCCCTGTGCAAAACCTGATGACCCAAGAGCCAAGAGCTGAACTGGCCCATTGCAAGGAAGCCATAGAGGTGAGCCCTCAGGGGCCACCTCACTCCTTGATCAGGTTGTCTCTGTTTCCTGCAGAGGAGCTTAGAGGAAGAGTCCACGCTGAAGACCCTGACGTTTGTGGGCTGTGGCGTGTCCTTCTGTGCCTTGATCGTCACCTTGGTGCTCTTCTTAGCTGTTGGGTAAGTCTGAAATAACACAAATGGACACACGCTTATCAAGTCAGCTCCTTGCCCAGCTCCACACGGCCTCTTGAAACCAACCAACCGAGTGAGCTTTGTTCCCACAACCTTCTGGAACATCTAACCATGATAAAGACTTGACGGGTCATGGGAAGGCATCCATGAGGTCCTTCCTTGGCCTGGATGAACCACTTGTGTGAGTCCAGATTCAGAGTGGGAAGGGATCTCAAAGAGACGCTGGAAGATCCCTTCCCCTAACCCTCTCAAGGCCCCATTTAGTACCTCTAATAAAGGAGAAAATTGCAGTAGTACAACACACTTAGTCGTTGTTGTTACTTGCGAAGTCGTGTCCGACCCATCATGACCCCATGGACAACGTTCCTCCAGGCCTTCCTGTCCTCTACCAACTTCTGGAGTCCATTTAAGTTCACGCCGACAGCTTCAGGGGCTCCATCCATCCCCCTCCTTCTCTGCTGTCCCCTTCTTCTTCTTTTGCCCTTCATCTTTCCCAGGGGCTCTTCTCTAGTGAGTCCTTCCTTCTCATGAGGTGGCCAAAGCCTTTGAGCTTCATCTTAGGATCTGGCCTTGCCAGGGTTGATCACCTCTAGGGTGGAAGGGTTTCATCTACACTTAGTAGAGCTTGTGCCTAAATCTTTTTTTTCCCCTTTCAACAGGGTCCCCAAAAGTGAACGAACCACCGTGCATAAAAACTTGATCTTTGCCTTGGCTGCCGCAGAAGCCTTGTTAATGTTCAGTGAATTGGCCAAGATCAACCAGGTCAGGAGAAGAGCTGGGAAACAGGAGGAGAACCACCTATGTGATGTCCTACCTGTGCTAGCTGAATGGGGGGGGGCACAGAGAATCCCCCAAGTCCTTTCCTCCTTCCCCCAGACATCTGACCAAAGGACTCCCCGTTTCTCTCCAGGGTGTTTGCTTCGCTGTCACAGCCTTTCTCCACCTCTTCTTCATGGCGGCCTTCGCTTGGATGTTGGTGGAAGGTCTTCTGCTCTGGAGCAAAGTAGTGGCCGTCAACATGAGCGAGGATCGGAGGATGCGGTTCTACTATGTGACCGGTTGGGGTTTGTATCCCAGAGGTCAAGAAGGGGAAGGGGCAACGGGAAGACCCGTGGAGTTCTTCTTCCTTTGAACCAGTTGACCCAACTTGAGTAGATCAGAGGTCTACTGTGAGCTCCACTCATCGTACGCATTGATGGGAAGGAATGGAGTGGATTTCCAGTAGGGAAGAACCACATTGGGGAAGGAGCAGTCGAGTCCGTTGGATGGAAAATCACCAACTCCTCGTGTCAATTGGACATCTCTGTAGCTGACATGAACCCAGCGGTGGGATTCAGCTGGTTCACGCCGGTTCGAGCAAATCGGATGTTAAATTTATATCTGGTTCGCCGAACCGGTAGTTGAACTAACTGGATGACCTTGCCCACCTCCGCCCCTCCCCTCCCAGGTGTTTCCACACTGCCCGTTTTGGGTGCAGGTAACTGCAGGGTCTGTGTGGAGGTTCTGGGAAGATGAAAAATGGCCGGCCTGGAAGTTCTGGAAGTCCAGAAATGGGCCTGTTTCCGACTTCCGGAAGGCCTCCGGAGTCCGGGGGAGGCCATTTTCACCCTCCCAGAGGCCCGAGGGAAGCCTCCGGATTCTGGGGAAGGTGAAAAATGGCCCTCCAGGAAGTTCCAGTAGGCCACGCCCACCATAGCCACGCCCACCCAACAACCAGGCAGAGAACTGGTTGTTGGGATTTTGGAATCCCACCCCTGCATGAACCACAAATCAACCAACAATTCTGTAGATATCCCCATTGTGCAAACGAAACCTGTTCTATTACTCTATGGTTGAATAGATTATACAGATACATCAAAACATTCTGAGTAAAACCGGATTATATAACCACATAGCCACTGTCTAAATGTGTGTTCTTACCAAGGCTTCTGAGACCATAATTAAGCACACGCTTAGTCCAAACAGCTCTTGTTTTATTTCAACACTGGGAATAATGTTCATTCCCAGCCCGTAATGAGTCCCAAACAGTCCCTCAAGATAAGCACCCACCTTTCTCTCCTTTGAATTGCTGCTAACAATTAAAGTGCCAAATTAATTGTAAAAAGCCAACTGAAGTACAAAGTCCACCCAGAGCTTCAAGGTTAAATCCAAATAGAGCGAACGACGTTGCTTCCTGCAAAAGTTTCTCTACCTTTGCCTCCCTTAGGGGAGGGGCAACCACTTCCCAGCCTTACTCCCAAGCTGCCCCTTTTGTTTCAGCTGCTCTTGCCTTCTGGCAGCTCTGTGCTTACGCGCACTGGGAACAGGCTCCCCTGGATCCTCTACCTCACTGCTGCCAGACTCTGGAGGCTCCGGAGTCAGCACCCCACTCCCAGATGGTCCTGGCCCCACCTCTGCATTGGACACAGGACCCTCGTCCGAGTCCTCTCCAGAATCCTGGACTGGTCCCCGTTCTTCCCCATTGTCCGATTCCGCTGCCGTCTGCACTGACTGCCGGCGAACCACAACAACATGTGTTACTTGAAACTCGGAGACGACAGGTTGGGTGACCTTCCTAGGATAGACCAGAAAGGGACAAGGCAGGTGCTAGTTAGAGACAATGAAACGCTGAAGCAGAGGTCAGCTGTGGTCCTTCCTCCATGGCCAAGTGGACTGTGGGAGATGGGATGGACACTGACCTACCAATCTCTCCCTTCCTTGCAGGGCTTCCTGTGCTGATCGTTGGCATCACTTTGGCTACGTCGTTCAACAAATACGTGGCGGACAATCACTGTTGGCTGAATGTGCAGACAGAGGTCATCTGGGCTTTTGTGGGGCCTGTCCTCTTTGTCCTAACAGTAAGGGCCAAAGTCTTTTGGCTTAAACCCCTGGCCTTCCTCATCCACCCTCTTGCATTTTTGAAGGGCCCAGAAATCAGGGACCGTTCATGCCCACCGTCCAAGAAGTTGCTTGCAACTTCGACATTTCGATATGTCCAACGTCACCTCGGGTACCAGTGGGAGTTTTCCTCAGCATCAGTGGAGTCGAACTTGGAATCCTCTACAGGCAAAGCTATGATACTTGCAATTCCCTGACCCACCAAGCCTTGAATTAATCAGAACCTTAGATAGGTACAGTCAGTACATTATTTAGCGGTAACGTCACCATACTTTCAGGTGAGACTTTTTTTGGCTCTGCCAGCTGGGTCCAAGGTTATTTCTGTAGACACATAACAGAATAACAGAGTTGGAAGGGACCTTGGAGGTCTTCTAGTCCAAACCCCCGCCTAGTCAGGAAACCCTACACCCCTTCAGACAAATGGTTATCCAATCTCTTCTTAAAAACTTCCAGCGTTGGAGCATTTACAACTTCTGGAGGCAAGTGGTTCCACTGGTGAATTGTTCTCACTGTCAGGAAATTTCTTCTTAATTCTTGGTTGTTTCTCCTTGATTAGTTTCCACTCGTTGTTTCTTGTCCTGCCTTTTAGTGCTTTGAAGAATAGCTTGACTCCCGCTACTGTATGGCAGCCCCTCAAATATTGGAACACTGCTGTCACGTCTCCCCTAGTCCTTCTTCTCATTAAACTAGACATACCACAAAGTCCTACCTGTCAATGACTACTTCAGCTTCAACCGCAATAACACACGGGCAAACAATAGATACAAACTCAATGCAAACCGCTCCAAACTCGGTTGCAGAAAGTACGACTTCAGCAACAGAGTGGTCAATGCCTGGAATGCCCTACCTGACTCTATTGTTACATCCTAAGCCCCCACTCCTTTCACCTTAAACTATCCACTATTGCCCTCACTCCATTCTTAAGAGGTCTGTAAGGGGCGTGCATAAGTGCACCATCGTGCCTACCATCCCTGTCCTACTGTTCCCATTTATTCATACTCATGCATTATGTATATACTTACACTTGTTTATACTTATATGTTAATATGTTCATACTTATACTTGTTTTCTCATACATGCTTGACAAACAAACAAATACATAAAATAAACAAAATACCTAATTCCTGCAACCATTCTTTATATGTTTCAGCCTCCAGTCCCCTAATCCCCCTGGTTACTCTTCTCTGCACTCTTTCTAGAGTCTCAACATCTTTTTTACAGTGTGGAGACCAAAACTGGATGCAGTATTCCAGGGGGTGATTTGACTAAAGCATTATTAAGTAGTATTAACACTTCACGTGATCTTGATTCTATCCCTCTATTAATGCAGCCTAGAATTGCATTGGCTTTTTTGGCAGCCGCAGCACGCTGCTGGCTCATATTTAAGTGGTTGTCCACTAGAACTCCAAGATCCCTCTCACAGTTACTGCTATTGAGCGAGGTACCACATATACCGTACCTGGGCATTTGGTTTTTCTTGCCTAAATGTAGAACCTGACTTTTTTCACTGTTGAATTTTATTTGTTAGGGTTTAACTCTATTTCCTAAAGCGCCTGTAGGCCAGACAAGAAACTGAAGAAGGAGAGATTCAACCTGGAAATAAGGAGGAACTTTCTGACAGTGAGAACAATCAACGCATGGAACAGAAGTTGCCTTCGGAAGTTGTGGGAGCTTCATCACTACTGGAGGCTTCCAAGAAGAGACTGGACTGCCATCTGTCAGAAATGGTGTAGGGTCTCCCACTTGGGTGGGGGGTTGGACTAGATGACCTACAAGGTCCCTTCAAATTCTGTCAATCTGTTAATCTGTTAGGTGTGGTCCTTCTAGGCTGCCCAGAAGGAAAATCTGGGGGCCTTTCTTCACAGTCCTTGTCCTTGTCATTTAGGTGAACACCTTTGTGCTGTTCCGAGTGGTGATGGTGACAGTCTCCAGCGCACGGCGTCGGTCACGGATGCTGACCCCCAACAGCAGCTTGGAGAAGCAGATTGGGGTTCAAATCTGGTGAGTCAGACCCATGGGGGCATGTGTTCCTTCCTCGTGGGTGCAAAGCTAGACAGCTTAACAGATTAGCAGAGTTGGAAGGGACCTTGTAGGTCATCCAATCCAAACTCCCACCCAAGCAGGAGACCCCACACCATTTCTGACTGATGGCAGTCCAGTCTCTGTGGGATGAAGCTCCCACAACCTCCGAAGGCAACTTCTGTTCCATGGGTTGTTTGTTCTCTCTGTCAGAAAATTCCTCCTTGTTTCCAGCTTGAATCTCTCCTTGATCCACTTCCATCCATTATTCCTTGTCCTGCCCTCAGGTGCTTTGGAAATAGCTTGACCCCTTCCTCCTCTCTGGGGCAGCCCCTCAAATATTGGAAGACTGCTCTCCTGTCTCCCCTGGTCCTTCTCTTCACTAGACCAGCCATGCCCAGTTCCTGCAACCGTTCTTCATATGTTTTATTATCCAGTCCACTAATCATCCTGGTTGCTCTTCTCTGCACTCTTTCTAGAGTCTCAACCTCTTTTTTATAAGTGTGGTGACCAAAACTGGATGCAGTACTCTAGGTGTGGCCTTACTAAGGCTTTGTAGAGTAGTATTACGGTAGTACCTGAGTTGATCTTGAGTACCTCACTTGACCTAGAAAAAAATTGGTCTGGCTGCCTTTTGTTAGTTCTCCAACTTATTTTGACATGATTCTGTCTCTTGGTGGCCTTTGGCGTGGATGGAGATAGAGACATTCTTTTCCGCCTTTCAGTCAACAAAATTAGATCTGGGAGATGATGGATTAAGCCAGGGCCAGTTTGATCACATTTCTAAAAATGTTCCAAACTTTGGCGTCCTTCAGTGACTTTTGGCAAGACATAGCATTTGGGGTCAAAAAAAATTGACGTCGGCGCATGAATTCTGATTCAGAACGAAGACGAATTGCTAAAAATGTGCCAATTTTGGAAGCTTCCCCAAACATCTAGCACCGTCAAAGAATGGTTTCCATCACCATCATCTCTAGCGTCTTCGGTTCATAATTTGAATTCACAATTTGACAGACTTGAACCCTGGGCCCTCTCTAACAAAATGAAATTCAATCTAGAGAAAAGTAAAGTGCTACACTTAGGCAAGAAAAACCAAAAGTACCCATATAGACTGGGTGAAACCAGGCTCAATAGCAGGAACTGTGAGAGGGATCTTGGAGTCTTAGTGGATAACCAGCTAAATAGGAGCCAGCAGTGTGCAGCAGCAGCCAAAAAAACTAATGCAATCCTAAGTTGTATTAACAGAGGGATACAATCAAGATCAAGGGAAGTACTAATACCACTCTATAAAGCCTTAGTAAGACCACACCTAGAGTACTGCATCCAGTTTTGGTCACCACACTATATAAAAAGATGTTGAGACTCTTGAAAAAGTACAGAGAAGAGCAACCAGGAGGATGAGGGGACTGGAGGCTCAAACCTACGATGAACGGTTGCAGGAACTGGGCCTGGCTAGTCTAGGGAAGAGAAGGACCAGGGGAGACAGAAAAGCATCTTCCAATATTTGATGGGCTGCCCCAGAGAGGAGGAGGGGGTCAAGCTATTTTCCAAAGCACCTGAAGGCCAGGAATAATGGATGGAAACTGACCAAGGAGAGATTCAACCTGGAAATAAGGAGGAATTTTCTGACAGTGAGAACCATCAACCAGTGGAACAGAAGTTGCCTTCGGCAGTTGTGGGAGCTTCATCCCTGGAGGCTTTCAATAAGAGACTGGGATGCCATCTGTCAGAAATGGTGTAGGGTCTCCTGCTTGGGTGGGAGTTTGGATTGGATGACCTACAAGGTCCAACTCTGTTCATCTGTAAAATTTCTGCCCAATGTTTCTGGAGGACAGAGGACCGTTTAGAAACTGGACCAATAGAATAGAGCACCTTATTTTTTTTTCCCCACCTTTGGAAGGGACATCCCTGGACGACACTGGTTTCCCTCCCTCCAACCTCTTCTTCCAAAGCCATCTCTTGATGCTTAGAGCCACTGTACCCCTCTCTTCTCCTCACCTCTGCTCCACACTCAGCGTTATCTCTCCCAGAGCTTCCTCCGATAAGCCCGGCGGATGGCAATCTCTTTGTTGCTTTTTCAGCTGGCGCCGTGGGCAGCCACAAAACACACACACTGTTCCTCTGGTATTGTAGATAGCCTCCACGCGGTTTTGCAGGGCTGAAGGTGGAGGCCGGGCGATGGAGGGCGAGATGACATCTTTTGCAGTTGGGGGCTTGGTGGCATCTTCAACCTCTGGGTGGGTAGGATGACTTTAGAAAGAGCAAAAATAAATAAATAAAAAAATAAAATAAAAAGGTCCCTGATTGAATCGGCCTGCAAAATTAAAGTCGTGCTAGACTGGTTTCCACTGGGCTCCATTGCATCTCTTCTAACTTCTTGCAAAAATTCTGGATGAAGAAATCGGGATTTTAGAAAAGTCGCCCACAATACATTCCGCTCTTCTGGGTCTCGCTTCAACCTCTGGATAGTGGGGTCGGATTCAAAGCTTTCTGGAATGGTGATGAACTGAGGACAGGGTCTCTTTCTATCTAGACAAGGAGCGGGGGAAAAAAAGGCAGGGGGGGAAGGTTTTGTCTGGTTTTGTTTGGAGGTAGTTTGGAAAGACCTGCAGATTATTCCTCCGTATGTGGTTGTGGAATCTCCTTCTGTTCGCATGCGCTGAGAGCCATCTCAGGCTTTGAGATAAGGAAAAAACCCAAAGCAGAAGATTACAACCCGAGCATCTTTCCACCCGAGACAGAGAGAAGGATGGAGAAATTGCCTCCAAATGAACCGAGTCCAGTTTTGGGGCTTGGCTAGGAAGAGGCCAACTTTTTTTTTCCCCCCCCTTGTTCTGCTCCATTTCCAGGGCCACCGCCAAACCCATCTTGGTGCTGCTCCCTGTCCTGGGCCTGACCTGGGTATGCGGCATCCTTGTTCACCTCAGCGTTACCTGGGCCTACATCTTCATCATGCTAAACTCCCTCCAGGTGAGTTAGTGTGGAGCAAAGCTTCTGTCTGAAACATCTGCAGAAGGTTCTTGCAGCCCCCAAGCGAAGTCCACCAGGAGTTGCGAGGAAGCAGAATTTTTGCATCCAAGGGACACAGGCAAAAAGTGAACCCCAAAAGGTTATTTACTGGTCTCGGCTGTGAACTGGGTGCCCCCCAAAACACACACCTTTTTCTAGGCAGTTGACCACGTTTTCTTAGATGCTCCTATGGGGACCATACATCGTCAACAGTGGCCCTTGGGTTCAGCAGTTGTTGTTAGTGCAGCTTGAACCTCGGTCAGAAATTCTTGCTGAAAGGGGTGGATAGAAATAAGGGGGCAGCCCTCTCAAAGCCATGAAGTAGTTCCTTGAATTTGGTCTCAGCAGAATACAAGCCCAGCCTACTGTCTGTCAGTCAGTCAATCAATCGATCGATTGATCAGGAATAAAGCTGGAAGGTGCAATGTCTCGTGGACACAAAACATAGTTTAGCGAATATAATTTTGATTGACTACCTGACTCAGTCTTTTCCTCCGAGACGAATACTCTGGATCAAATTCCTTTATTAAACACTACACTGTTTAATAATGTATTAAAATTAATAAGATGTAATAGGAAGAATATTACATTATGAAATATTACACTTGGGAAAAAACCTTCCCTTTTCCTCTTTCCCTTCTTGTTCTTTCCTTCCTTCCTTCTTCCCTTTGACTCTTTCCCTTCTCCTTCCTTCTCTCCTTCCTTTCTTTCTCCCACCCTCCCTCCCTCAATCCCTCCTTTCCTTCCTCTTTCCTTTATTCCTCTTTCGTTCATTCCTCTCTCCTCCCTCCCTCTTTCCCTTCTCCTTCCTTCCTTTTTCCCTTTCACTCTTTACCTTCTCCTTCCTTCCTTCCCTCCTTCCTTTCTTTCTCCCACCCTCCCTCCCTCAATCCCTCCTTCCCTTCCTCTTTCCTTTATTCCTCTTTCCTTCATTCTTCTCCTCCCTCCCTCTTTCCCTTCTCCTCCCTTCCTTTTTCCCTTTCACTCTTTACCTTTTCCTTCCTTCCCTCCTTCCTTCCTTTCTCCCTCCCTCAATCCCTCCTTCCCTTCCTCTTTCCCTTCTCCCTCCCTCCCTCCTTCCTTCCTTCCTTCCTCCCTCTCTCTCAATCCCTCCTTCTTTCCTTTCCTTTCCTTCTCCTCCTTCCTCTCTCCTTTCATCTTTTCTCCCTTCCTCCTTCTTTCCCAATCTCTCTTTTTTTCCTCCCTCCCTTCTCTTCTCCTTTTTCTTCCTTCTTTCCTCATCTGTCCATCTTCCCCCACCCCTCAATCTCATCTAACCATCTTTCCTCCCCGCAAAATAAAATCCACCACTCAACCCAGGAATCAGAAACAAACACAGACAATTGAGCTGGGCTGCCTTCAATGCACTGGTAAAGATTGTTTGGAACAAAACAGTATTTAATTGCCACAGCTTAGCCCAGGGATGTAATTGCTCTGCAAGAAAGACAGACAAAATATTTATGGGCCCCTGGGATGTCAGCTTTCCTCCCCCTTAAAAATTCAGCTGTCTAAAGAACCAGGTGGGATGCAAAGAGGCTGAGCCAACCAGAGGCAGGAGAGAAAGAGACAGAAAGTGTGTGTGTGTTTGTGTGTGTGTGTGAGAGAGAGAAAGAGAGAGTGTGTGTGTGTGTGTGTGTGTGTATCTGTGTGTGTGTGTGTGTGTGTGTGTGTGCGTGGGTGTCCTCTTCCCACCCATCTGCAAAGAGTGCAATGGGGGTGTGTGTGTGTGCAGGGCTCCTCCTCCTCCCTCCACATGCGTGGGAGTCCTGCGGTTTGCAGAGAGCTACAATTAATGCGTCAGCTGCAAAAGTTTTGCGATAGGAGAGAACAAAATAAAAGAAGCCAGAAGCAAAACCCCTATCGGATATTTTATTTTATTTTTTAAATAAAAATAAAAGCAGAGAGCCAATGCTTGGAGTGCAGAGTTGGGTTGATTTCCAGCTAGGAAATGAAATTCTGAACAGGCGGGGGCGGTGGGGGCATGAAACCTTGGAGGGCAGAGCGTGAACAAACACAGAGATAGCCTCAGTTTCCCCAGGCAGCTTTGAAAAGGGAGGGTTTTTTTTTGTTGGGAAAAACAAAACAAAAACTCACAACTCTTTAAAGCTGCGAAGAGCCTCTCCTGGCTGCCAAGGCGACAAAGCTCCGCTGCGTTTCTGCAAAGTGTGGGTGTTTGTGTGTGATTTTTGTGGGTCAGCCTCAGCTTCGGGTTCCTTCTCTTTAAAATGCGGGGAAGGGGGCAGCTTTCCAACTATTTGGTCCCATTTGAAATAGCAGGATTTCTATTAAGACTGGGCCGAACTAGCACAAAATCTGGGGACCATATTTTCATAAGGAAAACAAAAAAACTAACAATAATTGTGTTTATAATTTGGCTTTGCAAGAAAAATCCAAGAGCAAAAAAACCAGGAAAATAAATACATCAAAAAGGACACTTTTCCAAAATAAAAGATTGCTGTTTGTAATAAAGGAGCCTGTTAGAAATGAATCCCTGACAATTATTAATCATAAATCATCCTGAAAATTAACCAGCGGTCTTAACTCTAATGTGCATTTCAAGACCCAATTGAAACCAGCAAAATTTCCTCTTTCCAGACGTCTATAAGGCAAGCTCACTTTGCCCACTTACTTTTTAAATACTTATCTCCCGAGGACAAAAATAAAAGTTTTCTAAATTGTATAAACCATTTTTTTGAGGGGAGGATGGGATAAAATTGGTTTTAATGATGTTTATTTAATTTCACTGGCATTGTCCTCTTTCCTTTCAAGGCATTTTTTTTTTTTTTTTTTGAAATAGATTTTAAAAAAAAAAAAAAAAAAAAAAAGAACAGAAGAGAAAGTACGGAGAAAGTCCAAGAAAGTTACAAATTATCTGGACCCCTTATAAAATTCCAGGAACGAGGCATCGGAATTGCACAATATAACGTTCTCATCTATTTTATCCTTGGCCTATAAACTCCAGGGAGCTTTTAGCCTCTAGATGGAGATGTTTCTAGTTTCTGAAAATTGCCAGAAGCCAGCTGAGAAAGTCAAGATATTGGGCTTTTGATTCCTGCCCTGTTTTTTTTCTTTTTTTACTTCCGTATCCGAGATTGAGCTGAAAATTTTAGCTAGAAAGTACCAGCAAAATAAATAAATCTAAAGGAAACTTTCTTTTTTAGAAATAAAAGATAATTGTTTAGAATAAAGGAGGTAGGAAATAAGTCCGCCACAGTTATTAATAATGAAATAATAATGAAATAATAATAAAAGAATGAAGAATAGAATACAACAGAATAGAAATATTGGAATGAAATAGAATAGAATAGAATAGAATAGAATAGAATAGAATAGAAATATTGGAGTGAAAAAGAGTAGAATAGAATAGAAATATTGGAGTGAAAAAGAATAGAATAGAAATA